GGCCTCAGCCTCTCAAGTATCTGGGATTACAAGTGCCCCCCATCATGCCCAGCTAATTTTTGTATTTTTTGTAGAGACAGGGTTTCACCATGTTGGTCAAACTGGTCTCGAACTCCTGACCTCGTTATTCGCCCACCTTAGCCTCCCAAAGTACTGGGATTACAGGCAAAAGACACTGCACCATGCTAAAAATAAATTCTTTTGCAAACTTTCTGTTTCCTCTTTCCCCTTCAGAGTTAACCTTTTTGTCATTGTTTGTTTAAATCCAGATTTCATCTGGATACAAATGCTTAGACTTAGCCTCAGTTGGCAGTCCAACTAATGAGGGTGTTGAGTCCATAAGCTGTTGATTTATAAATTGTGCCTTGTTTAGTCTTTCACAAATGGCAAGCTTTATTCTCTTTCACTGCTCTTTCCCCAGTACCTAGCACAATGCCTGAGACATAGTAGGTAAACAAGTTTTGAATGACAAAATGACCAGAAGCTTAATATTGAGGTTTGAGAACAAGGACATCTACAGTGTGGAAGTTTCCAGATGTGCTCTTAGCATGTTTATCTTTTTAAGCCTCAGTGGGTATGAAAGGCTTTGGATATAATCCTTTCCCTTTAGGAAATAAAGAAAATAATCACTAAAATGAAGTAATTTTTAGGACTAATTTTATAGGTAAAATACTTAAGACTGTATTGTTTGATAGAATCTTTTCTAACTAGAGGATATAGGAATGAAATTTCCACTATTACCGGTGGCCTAAGAATAGATTTTAGACATATATCTTGAGACTTCAAAGCCTTAAATCCTTTTTTGGAGAGAGTGAGAGTCCCTGCCTTATGCAAAAGCACCACTACCAACACCAGCTTCATTTTCAACAACTGTTTTCCACTTTCATTCGGTATGTTAATAATTTCTTGACTTATATAGAGCTCTATTCCCCTGATAGGTTGCTTTCTGCAATGGAGAGCACTGCTTCTTTAGAGAAAATGCCTGCTGCGTTTTCCCTTTTTGAACATTATGATGACAGCTCGGCAAGAAGTGACCAGATGTTAAAACAAGTGACTGGTAAGCATTTTAATATATTAATTATCTAGATGAAATATGGCAGTTTTTGCTTGTTTGTTTTTTGTGTAAAGGATATATATACAAGATTTTAAGGCATGCAACTGGAAAAAGAAAAGTATTAGTTGTAAAATGTTACAGCTAGACTCTGAAATCGAGCATGAGACCCGCATCCCATTTCTGTGGGCATTTCCATCTGAAGCTTTATGACTTGCTGGGAGATTGAGGAGGTGGAAGGAGCCATGGAACCAAAGGATCTCCTCTTTTTTTTTTTTTTTTTTTCATTTAAAAATAAGATTTCTCTCCCTCTCTTCTCTAGAGTCGTTTGCCTCATACCAGCAGCCAGGTATAGAAGAAAAAAGAAGTCAAATGTTTTCCTATGTGTCAAACAGATTTCTGTTTATGAGTGGTTTTCCCCTCTTCAATTCAGTTCTTTTCCCCTTTTTTTCAAACTAAACAGATGAGCTTAGAGAACTAAGAGCTCAGCACCATGGTCTGTAGCCAGGAGCCTCCCACTCAGCTGTCAGAAGCATCCTGCCAGCTCTTCACAATATTTTTTAATGTGCTATTTTAACAAACAGGACAATGAAACTTATTTAGATTTTTCAAAGCTGCCATGTTTCAGTGAAGTTACCGAGTTTTACTTACTGTACAATGTGCTCAGATGTCCTCCTTAAAAGATGCTATAATCTTCCAAAACCACCTCAAAGATTACAGCCATTTGGGAGGCTGAGGCGGGAGGATCACATGAGCTCAGGGGTTCGAATCCAGACTGGGCAACATAGTAAGACCCCCTGTCTCTAAAAAAAATAAAACCCCAGAAACAAAAACAAAAACAAAAAAAGATGGTTGTTGTGTTTAAATTGATGATTATCTTTCATTCCTGTACAGAGTGTTAGTTCAGTAACTACTAAAAAGGCTTCTGTGTGTCTAAAAAGACAAAAACAACACCACAACACACACAAAAACAAAACTCCACTAGCCCATTATAAAATTAAAAACTCAATCATTGATCTTAATGGATTTTCTCTAGAAATATCTCTAAACAAAGTGTGTTTTATTGCAATGTCTTTAAGAAGGATTAGACCAGGGCAGTGATTGCAAATGAAGAAAGTTTGATTAACAGAGCTAGTCTTTTGCATTTAAGGGATTCATTATATGCTATTGTTAATTTAGAAGAATATGCCTTTGAATACTTAATGGACAATGAGAGGACATTTAACATATTTTTGAAGTCACAGAATTAAAATGTCACAAAGTGTTAGCAATTAATTCAGCAAGTGCGCATGGCAGTCCCTGTGGTTCGAAGCCTTTTATGGACAGATGATCTCAGAGCCATAAATGTTACTTTGTGTGTCTTTTTCACAAAATTGGAGCCCAAGGTGTTGACTTGTTGCTAAAAAGTTTTTGCTCATTTTGTGACACCTCTCGGATATGAAGTCCTCACCTATTACCTGAAAAATTGATCTGATGACCCCCTTCCTAAACTAAGCAGATACAGTGAGGAAAGGATGTGAGTCTTCCAGTGAGAAGTAGCAGCCCATATGATTTATTTCACACTTAAACACGATGCCTGGCATCGTGGGAACCATTAAGCATATCAAATCATCTCATCTCAACACAACCCAAAGAGGTAGGTTTTGTTATTCCCATTTGACAGGTGAAGAAAGGTGAGGAAAGAGAGGAAGAGAAAAGCGTTCTATTTTGAAGGCAACATAGCCGGTTAGGGTGTACGTGGCAGGGGAGTTTGGTATTCACTCCCCTGTGGTTCAGAGTCTACACTTGAATCACTGCCCCACAGCAAAGAGGCAGAGTGCACTGCTGAGACAGATGAAAGAAGCACAGATCATGGATAAACAAACAGAATTCTAGGCTTCCTTGATGCTGGCACCTGGGGATTTTTTTTTAATTGTGGTAAAATAGACATAACTTAAAATTTACCATCTTGTCCATTTTTAATTGTACAGTTTAGTGGCATTAAGGACATTCACACTGTGATACAACCATCACTGCCATCCCTCTCCAGAGCTCTTCCTCTTGCAAAGTGGAAACTCTATATCCATTAAACACTGACTCTCCATGTTCTCCCCTTTCCGTGGCTCCTGGCAGCCACCATTTTAGTTTCTGTTTCTGTGAATTTGATTACTCTAAGTACCTCATCTAACTGGAATCATATGGCATTACTCTTTTTGGGACTGTCTTATTTAACTTAGATTAGTATCCTCAAGTCTCATTGTGTTGTAACGTGCCAAACTTTTCCTCCTTTTTAAGGCTAATACTCCATTGTACGTAAACACAGCATTTTCCTTCTCTGTTCATCTGTTGGATACTTGGGTTGCTTTTACTTTTTGGCTATTGTGAATAATCCTGTTCTCCTGAAGGCCAGGTTGAATGGAAATGTGTATCTGGCCACAGATTCTGAAGTCCAGTTTGGTTAATGCTTAATTCTCCAAGTGTGGCGGCTCTTTTGGGGCACATTTCATCAGGCAGAGGGGTGATTCTTCTGTCCAGTTCCTTAGCCTCTTGTAGTGAAGCCCTAAACTTTAATTTTGGTTTTTTTTGGCATCACACTTTTTTTTTTTTTCCAGATGGAGTCTCACTCTGTCACCTAGGCAGAAGAGCAGTGGCACCATCTCAGCTCACTGCAACCTCCACCTCCCAGGTTCAAGCGATTCTCATGACTCAGCCTCTCCAGTAGTTGGGATTACAGGCATGCGCCACCACACCCATCTAATTTTTTGTATTTTTAATAGACATAGGGTTTCACCATGTTGGCCAGGTTGGTCTCCTATTCCTGACCTCAAGTGATGTACCTACCTCAGCCTCCCAAAGTGCTGGGATTACAGGAGTAAGCCACTGCGCCCAGCCGGCATCACAATCAAGTTTATTACTACAGAAGTGTAAACAGAGTTGCTAAACTCCGGGTCTCTGATGTTGTCCTACCACATAAGAATTGTAAATCCAGCTATTATTATTAGATTATATCTATGGAATATTCTTATTCCCTTTTCATTTCAGAATCCTTTGAAAAGTAAAAGTATTTCCTGTTTCTGAAAAAAGGTGTTTTAACGTTAATGCTTTTGGGGGAAGGAGCACATTAAAACAAAATTTCTAACCTACATACTTTGCTTCTTCCTTAAAATTAAGTGATTATTTTGGATCAATTAATCAGTTTTTAAGTTTGTTAATATACGCAAGAGAGAGAGAGAAATGTGAAAGATGTTTTCATTTTTAAAAAGCAGATACAGCTCCATGTATAATTCAGAGGATAAAAGCGGGAGCAATTTCATTGTTCACGCCTCAAGTAGTTCTCAAACACTGCTTCCAAGATGATCGACTATAGCTGAAACATTCTGCTTGGTCCTTTCATGGACCTGGGTAACATGAAAATTTACTGAACTACATTTATCTGGATGGAATCCTTTAGAATATGACATCCATTTCCTGCTGGGAAGACAAGCAATACATTCCAAGAAAGTATCAGGGTCTCTGATCCGTGATCAGTCCCTGGGGAAGCGCTCTTACCAGCGGCCTCTGCTTAAGCATGCAGCCTGCTCCACATGTCTTACCTCCGTGGCCTCTGTGGCTTTCCAGATGATTGGTCCCTCGTTCAGCCCTCATCTTCAGGAGCTTCCTGCCTTGCCCCTCTGTTTCCTGTGCCAAGTCCCATTTGCTTGCTGAATGTTAGTGTTGGTTACCTGCTAAGCACTTTGCTAAGCACTTGATTGATATTATTTACTTCTTACAACAACTCTGGGAGGTAATGCTATTATTATTGTTTTCTCATTTTAAAGATGGGGAAACTGAGGCTAACATAACAGAGGGGCTGGATCCGGTGTTTAACCTCGGGCCAGCCACTCTGCACTGAAGTCCATGAACTTGACCCTTCTCCTCTTCTGCTTCGTGTTTTTCACAACCGTGTATTTCTTCCGCTCTTTATCGCCATTGAATCTTCTCAGTTTGTCTTTTTTCTTATATTATTTGGACCCATTTATGTTTTTCTCATTTTTACCTTCTTGCTGAACTGAACTTTATTTTTGTTTTCCTTTGGTGTTCACTTTTAATAAAGTACTCTCATAAAATTTGGTCCATATTGTTAGTATTTCAGCAAACTTATCTTTCAGGAAGTTGTTGGCTAGAAAAAAATAAGCACAAAAAATAAATGTAAAAGCATGCTGTTGAGCCAGGTATGGTGGCTCACGCCTGTAATCCTAGCACTTTGGGAGGCCGAGGCGGGCAGATCAGCTATGGCCAAGGAGTTTGTTCAACATGGTGAAACCCCATCTTTACTAAAATTACAGAAAAATGATCTGGGTGTGCTGGCAGGCGCCTGTCATCCCAGCTACTAGGGAGGCTGAGGCAGGAGAATTGCTTGAACGCGGGAGGCGGAGGTTGCAGTGAGCTCAGATGACGCCACTGCACTCCAGCCTGGGTGACACAGTGAGACTCCACCTAAAAAAAAAAAAAAAGCATGCTATCTTTTCAACTATGGGAATAACCTCTAATTTGAGAAATATATTCAAAGATTTTGTGTCATAAGTTTTGGAGGAGAATTGCATTGAAGCTTGATTTATGGTGTTGCATATATCATTAATGTTTGTAAGCATAATCATGAACTTTACCAGTCTCTAGGAAACACTCAAGGATTTTGTTGTCCTTAAAATTCAGAACAACGAAGATATACTAGATGTCTAAAATGTATGCTGAATCAATTAGCGGGCTACTTTTTCTGTAGTTTTTATATTTTGCTTAATTTTTAAAAAGTTAATAATTTAAAAAATTGATAGGGATAGGCACGTTGGAAAGACAAAATGGGATAGTCATTTCAGAAAGAGTATTTGATATTTTATTTTTGCAAGTATTTTTCAGGCTTTTAAGATATACTAACTATATCTTGAAAGGGTTTCCTTTGCCTCTATTGTGAATATAGTCTATATTGATACGGAATGATACAGCCATGGTTATCTGCAAAGCATGCATTTTGTTTTGAAGGAAAAGAAAGTCAGTTGTTGCCTCCTTTAACCTACATGAGTTTATTGCTCTAGCTATAGGACTGTAGAAGAGTATTCTCAAGTGATCCCATTTTGGAATATATTTTTGTTTATTTCTGTATGTATTATATATGTTCACATGTACAAATGCATAGAAAACATTGTGGAAGGATACACATTCAACTGCAACAGTGATTGCATCTAAAGAATATGGCTGGGTCTAGTGGCTTTCACCTATAATCCCAGCACTTTGGAAGGCTGAGGCAGGTAGATCACTTGACGCCAGGAGTTCAAGACCAGCCTGACCAACATGGTGAAATTCCCACCTCTACTAAAAATACAAAAGTTAGCCAGTTGTGGTGGTGCATACCTGTAATTCCAGCTACTCAGGAGGCTGAGGTAGGAGAATTGCCTGAACCTGGGAAGTGGAGGTTGCAGTGAGCCGAGATTGCATCACTGCACTCCAGCCTGGATGACAGAGCAAGACTCGGTCTCAAAAAAATAAAAAAATAAAAAATAAAGAAAGAAAATAGAAAATAAAAAATTAAAAAATTAAAAAAGAATATAATTTGGGTTGGGGATTTTGGGAAACAAAGGAGCCCTTCTACTTTTATACCCTGTATTTCTGTATTGTTTGAATTTTTTTCAACAAGCATAAGTAAATTTTGCCCTAAAAATCAATAAAAACAGCATTAGTTACAATAAATGTTGTTTATATTCCAGTTCCACAGCCTCCTAGATTGGAACCTCAGGAACCAAATTCTGCCACCAGTACAACGATTGCAGTTTATTGGAGCATGAACAAGGAAGATGTCATTGATTCATTTCAGGTTTACTGTATGGAGGAACCACAAGATGACCAAGAAGTAAATGGTAGGATTGCTAAGACAAAGACAGATTCACATGCATATCCATGCATCTTCATGTGAAGTATTTAAACATATACCTGCAGTATGACTCTTTCCACAAAGCATTCATAGCCACTTACAAAACAACAACAACAAAACCCCAACAACCATATAATTAAATAATAACTACAGAAGAGAAATTTAGGAATCAAAATCAAGGAAAACAAAAATGCATAAACATTATCATAATAGTCAATATGAATATTGTAATTGATTCACATTTGGCTTTGAGCTCTCGGAATAACAGGAGCAGTGAAGTGGTTCTCATTTTCAGAAAGGAGCTAATATACCAGAGTTTCAAGGAAAATAAAGTTTTAATCAGTACCAAAGCCTGAAAGATAAGTGTCACATGTTCCACTTTGTAGGGAAGAAGCCGTATAGAGGACAATGTGTTCCACATGGTTGGAATGCAAATGAAGTATGGGTGTCATGCTTGGCAGTTTCTCAGGTCTATCTTTGCTAAAAGCTACCAAGAAGCCACAAGGTTTATTCAGTGTTCACAGTTCCCAAGGCATGGCCTAGGTTAGTGTAGTCTTCCTGTGTCCCAAATTAATGTGTGGATAGAAATGAAAGTGCTTAGTAGGGTGAATGGATGGTATGTCTTATGGCTGAGCCTCCGTAAGTATCTCTCAGCTCAGAAGGACTTCTAATAAGCCCTGGAAGCCAGGCAGTTTGACTTTGTGCTTCCTGATGAATCAGTGCTGGGAGTGCTGCCATTCTGTGTTGCTTGTTGAAGACAGACCTACGTACTATGGAAACCAGACGAACATGTGGCAGGCTTGGGCACCCTAACTCAGGCACCCAATTTGTAATCAGGAATGAATGGTAATATATTATACTATTACTAGTATTTAAGTTTTTTGAAATGTCATGTGATAATTAATTTAGAAAAAAGTTTAAAAAGCAACTACTGGCATGGCTTAAAGTTGGCTAAGTCTGTCAGCAATGTAATGACTCCTGTTTTATTGACCTATTTCCATATGCCTGTCACAGCACAACAAAGTAAGTATTACTATCCCTATTTGCAAGTGAGAAAACTGATGTGAGGTTAAGTAGTTTGCTCAAGGCCTCAAAACTTGTAAGTGACAGGGACAGGAGTCAGACACAGATCTTTCAGGCTCCAAAGCTTATGCTTTTGTTTATTTCTCTCTGTGTGTGTTTTGTTACATCATACTTCATCTCCATTTATTTCCAGCTGTTTTCTGAAACACCGTGGCTCTCTGAGACCCTTCTTATGAAATAGTTATTGCCTGGAGTACTTTTTTTTACTGGGTTTCACACCCCCACAACCCCAAACACTTCCCTATCTGTGTCTCATTGTTTCTGTTCCCTGAACTGTGCTAATAACAGTTAGCTAATCTGATAGTCTAGTCTGTGCTACCATGCCATGTCTGCTAGGGTCTCTGGTCACATATGTGCATTGTTAAAGGGAGTGCCAGGGTAATAGGATGTACTAGCTCATTCTCACACTGCTATAAAGACATGCCTGAGACTGGGTAATTTATGAAGAAGAGGTTTAACTGGCTTACAGTTCTACAAGGTGTATAGGCATGGCAAGGGAGGCCTTAGGAAACTTACTATTATGGCAGAAGGTGAAGGGGAAGCAAACACATCTTCCCATGGCCGGCAGGAGAGAGAGAGAGTGAAGTAGGGGAGGTGCTATACACTTTCAAACAACCAGATCTCTTGAGAACTCATTCATGAGAACAGCAAGGGAGAAGTCTGCCCCCATGATTCTATCACCTCCCACCTGGCCCCTCCTCCAACACTGGGAATTACAATTTAATATGAGATTTGGGTGGAACCAAACCATATCATCGGACCTTGCCTAAAAGAATGATTCCAGTGAAAACTGTAGACACAGATTCTAGGCTACGGGAGATATGTTTTTCAGCGTACAAGTCCTTATGACATTCTTTAAACTGAACTTTCTGTCCAGCAAGTACAGCTCATTGGAAAGGAGAGAGGCAACTGAGAGACCTGCTAAGCTGAAGACTTCTCAATTTTCTTTTAAAGAAACAGCCTGGGTTCTTAAGTGGAAAAGTTGAAGATGTGATATTCAGGAGTAATAAGGGGGGGATAACTGAAATTACCACAGGCAAAATTTAAAAAGAAAATCATATGTTTTAAGGGAGGTAAAATTTCAGTAAGAATAATCAAATTGGCCCAAATTGGTAGGTATATTCATAATGACACTGAGTAATATTAACTATTAAAATAATTCAAAGTAAAATAAGTTTTAGAATTTTAGAAGGAAAATGTCTTAATTGGACAAAGTTACTTCTTAGAGTAGCTTATAACCTATCGAAGTTATTTAAATGTTTGTATAAATTGTGGAAATCTCTAGTGGAAAGAATTCTGGAGTTCATTAGAAGGAACCAGGATTTGAAACTTGGAAGGTCATACTGAATACCAAAATAGTTTACTAATCTGTAAAGATGTTTAAAAAACATGAAGTTGTCCTTTTTTTATGACATACTCTTCTGAAATATTGGTATTGGTTCTTAAGATTTTCTTAAGAATGTGTTACTGAGATTTAAGCTAACATAAACTCTATGTAATTTTAATATTTGCTACTTAAATAAGTTACTTTAATTGTGGTATATGAAGCTCAGAATCTTACTAATGTGCTATTATTTTCTGATAAGTGCTAACAAGTAGTACTGTGTCATCCTCAGTATCTCTTTTCAGAATGCTGTTGCTTTCTTATGTATTCTAAGGAGCTGGTTTTCACATAATGGTATCTAGAAGGTTGTCAGTTTGAGTTTTCCACTGCAAGAAAATCATAGATGACTTTCTCCGATAACTATAACTTTAATTAACTTTGGAAGATATCTTAGATTTTAATTGTGTCTTATGCTAGAGTTGGTAGAAGAATACAGACTGACAGTGAAAGAAAGTTACTGCATTTTTGAAGATTTGGAACCTGACCGATGCTATCAAGTGTGGGTGATGGCTGTGAACTTCACTGGATGTAGCCTGCCCAGTGAAAGGGCAATCTTTAGGACAGGTAAGGAGCTGGATGCTAAGGGCACATTAGGAGACAACGCTCAATTCTTCACAGGCTCTTGAGATCAGTACGTATTTATTAAGCACCTATTGTGTGTTGAGTGTTGCGCAAAGGGCTGGTTATGTGATGATGAATAAGACTGGGCTCCTGTTCTCAAGACGTTCACACTCAGCTGGGGAGATGGAAAAACAGAAGATCATAGAAAATGTATGGTAACAGCCATATCCAGATATACACAGGTTATTATGAGAACACTCGAGGGGCACCCAAGTTGGCCTGGAGCAGGGGCAGGATCAGGAACTGTTTCCTAGAGCTGATGCCTGCAGAAAATGCTTTAAAGAATCCATAGGAAGTAATGTGTTAAAGGAAGGTATTCCACTTGAAAAAGACATATGAATAGAGGCATCGAGGCAAGAAACAGTATAGAGTGTGCAGGGCACCGTAAGAAGTTCGGTATTTCTTAGACTTAAACAAAGAAAGGAAGACAAGATGAGAAAGGCTAACGTATAGAGGCCGTGTTTGAAAGGTAAGAAAGATTGGGCTGTGTCTGGGTGCTGGGAACCTCCAAAACATTTTAAGCAGTGGTATTCAACTGGAAATGCATTCTCAAGTTGAAATCTTTTCACAGGGTATGAAGCCTAAACCAAGGCTGCACTGCCTTTAAGATAATGGCAGCCTGCCTCAGGGGAAGAAGTAGTTTACTCCTACCCTTTATCCTTTCCTCTTGCCTTTTAAAACAAGCCTTTATTGAGCACCTACTGAGGACAAGATCCTCACTGACTTGTGTGTACCGGGAGAGGGGAAATAATCTTTATTTTGATTTGCTTGTATATGTATAAAGAAAGTCTGGTGGGATTTATAGGAAGCTACTATTAGGGGCTGTTTGGGGATGGGTGAGACCTGGGCAATTTGGAAGGCAGAGAAGGAGAGAGACTTCACTATTTATATTTGATTGCTTTTGGGTTTTTAACACAGAATACATTTTCTGATAAAAAATTTAAAACAAAATTGTGCTCAAGCCGTAGAAGACCACGTGCTTCTCAGGTCCTGGGAAAGCAAGCTGGCATTGCTCCACAGCTGTCCTGACTCTCTTTCTGCAGCACCCTCCACCCCTGTGATCCGCGCCGAGGACTGTACTGTGTGTTGGAACACAGCCACTATCCGATGGCGGCCCGCCACCCCTGAGGCCACAGAGACCTACACTCTGGAGTACTGCAGACAGCACTCTCCTGAGGGTGAGGGCCTCAGGTAAGGGGCCCTCTCCATGGGAGAGACTGCCCAGGCCCCAGCTCTGGGCCCTAAACTACCGTCTAGCTTATGCTCACCAAGGGAGAAATGCAGCCTAAAATCCTGCTGAGCTAATGAAACCGTTGACTTGATTTGCAGCTCTATCACTATTCATCAATGAACTCCAAGTTTGTAATAAAACACATGCTACAATGCAGAATAACTCCCTTGTAAGAAAAATGTATGTGAATTTTAATGATAGAGCATTCTTTGAGGTATATTTAACTTCAGTCATTAGACAGGATTTATGCATATTTTATGGGGTTTTTACTAGCTATATCAGAATCTGTACCACCTAACTCAGGAAACTAACAGTGAGCTTGTATATGATGTAAATATGATGTAAATCTGAATGTCTCCATGATAACATAAAGGAGCTAATTACATATATATTATCATGGAGACATACCTGCCTCTCCAAAAGCATGAAATATGTAAAGAGATTCTTCTAGGAGAAAAGAAATGTGACGCTCTGTCACTAAGATGATGAAGCTAACATTTATCAATAAGCAGCTATGCATCCACTAGGCATTTGGTAAATGTTAACTTATCTACTGAGGTGGTATTTTCTTAGCCTACCACCTCCTTGCTGTAGAGCAGCTTCGTGAACAAGATGAATATTCAGATCATTATTATTATTCATATTTTGATAGACAGGTTTTTAGTTTTTCTTTTAAATAAAGTTTCTTGAGATAAACTACTTTGGTAGGATATGGAACTTAGGAATAATGGTATGAAATTAGACAGCTTTTAAAAAATTACTATACTTTAAGTTCTGGATACATGTGTAGAATGTGCAGGTTTGTTACATAGTTATACACATGCCATGGTGGTTTGCTGCACCATCAACCCGTCATCTGCATTAGTATTTCTCCTAATGCTATCCTTCCCCCAGCCCCCTACCCACCAACATGCCCCAGTGTGGGATGTTCCCTTCCCTTTGTCCATGTGTTCTCATTGTTCAGCCCTTACTTATGAGTGAGAACATGTGGTGTTTGGTTTTCTGTTCCTGTGTTAGTTTGCTGAGAATGATGGTTCCCATCTTCATCCATGTCCCTGCAAAGGACATGAACTCAATACTTTTTTATGGTTGCATAGTATTCCATGGTGTATATATACCACATTTTCTTCATCCAGTCTATCATTAATAGGCATTTGGCTTGGTTCCAAGTCTTTGCTATTATGAATAGTGCTGCAATAAACATACATGTGCACGTGTCTTTATAGCAGAATGACTTATAATCCTTTGGATATATACCCAGTAATGGGATTGCTGGGTCAAATGGTATTTCCTGTTCTAGATCCTTGAGGAATCACCACACTGTCTTCCACAATATTTGAACTAGTTTACACTCCTACCAACAGTGTAAAAGCGTTCCTATTTCTCCACATCCTCTTCAGCATCTGTTGTTTCCTGCCATTATAACTGGCATGAGATGGTATCTCATTATGGTTATGAGCTTTTTTCATATATTTCTTGGCCGCATAAATGTCTTCTTTTGAGAAGTGTCTGTTCATATCCTTTGGCCACTTTTTGAAGGGGTTGTTTGTTTCTTTCTTGTACATTTGTTTAAATTCCTTGTAGATTCTGGATATTAGCCCTTTGTCAGATGGATGGATTGCAAAATTTTTCTCCCATTCTATAGGTTGCCTGTTCATTCTGATGATAGTTTCTTTTGCTGTGCAGAAGCTCTTTAGTTTAATTAGATCCCATTTGTCAATTTTGGT